TTCACAGTTTCTACCAATATCAACGTCAGCCCTGGTATCATTAAAAATAGGAAAAAATGTATTTTCTAAAGCAGATGCAATGACCCAATAGACAAAAGTGATACTCTATAATAGAAAAAGTCACTTGTTTTCTCCAATTTTTCCATAGCATGAAATTTTGGATTTTATTGTTATTCAGATATACAGGATATAAAAATCAGGGCAAAGATGGATAAAAAGAGATTGAACTGCTTCCTGTTGGACATTTACTCTAACATTTATTTGAAATGCTAATGATGCTTTGAATAACTATCAGATTGGAATTCACACATATTTAGTTCTGTACCTTGGCATGAAATAGTCACTTATCAAAAGAAGTGTGAAATTAAATGAGACAAGTTATGAAACAGTTTAATCTATATATTTTGCCTCTGTTTTATCTGAAGAAAGGGTAAGAAAACACAAAAATTCTTTATAAAGTATACTTTTGAAAATATACAAACAGAAACAAAGGAGTAAATCCCATGTGATTAGTATGTCAAATAATCTTTATTGTCTAATACAGTTATTACTGTTTCTTTGTAAAAATGAAACCCTATAGTTAAAAAATTATGATTGTAATAATAGAAACATATTCTTAGTGTTCTATGTAGAATGTATTGTTTTAACTTCTTTACTTCTTGCTATGGTCCAAATATTTGTGTCCTACCAAAATTCTTACGTTGAAGACATAACCCCCAAGATAATGGTAATAGGAAGTGGGCCCTCTGAGAGGTGATTAAGTCATGAGGGCACCATGTGAGGACCCAGGCAAGTTGGCACCCTCTGTGAACCAGAAGAGGAACCCTCTTCTGACACCAAATCTGCTGGTGTCTTGATCTTGGACTTAACCTCTATGCCTGTGAGAAATGAATATCTGTTGTTTATAAGCTACCTAGTTTATGGCATTTTGTTATATCAGCCCAAATGGACAAACGCATTTATTATTCTATGATTTCATTCAATCTTCATGGCACTTTTAGGTATATTCTATTATTATCATCATTTTCCAGATGTGAAAATATAAATATTGCCAGGAGTTATTGTGAAGAATGTATTAATTCTTTAAAACTTGGGATATAGGTTGAATTAGTTATCTATTGTCATATATCAAACCATCTCAAACTTAATGGCCATTAATATAGCTCGTGATCCTGGTGGGTATCTTCTTCTGGCCTGGGCAAGCCTCTGCTCCTCTCAGCTGTGCTTGCTACTGTATCAGTGTTATTGGCAGAATGGTCTGAGTTTGGTAGGTCCTAGATGGCCTCACTCACATAGGTAGAAGTTGGCTCGCTTTTGGTTGGGGTGACAGGACTGAGTGATGCATTAACCATGTATTTTTATTTTCTATTTTATTTGTGTATTTTTATTTTTATGCTTTGGTCTCGGGCTCTTGCTGTGGAGGGACTGCCCCTCCTAGGGCTAATTTTTAGAGATAGTCAACAGCACCATGAGCATGCTTTTCTTATGCAAACTAACAAATCCAGAGCCCATACCCCCAGTTACCTCCTTTATCTGGCTCTCATTCTTTAGGCCACTATTCATTCACTTGCTCTAATTACCACAACTAGGTAGAGTTCCTATAACCCAGAGTCTGCTGAAACTATTCAAACTAGCCAGTCCTAAACCTGCTTATACCTGCTTTGTGTGTTTCTTTTCATGAAAACCATAATAAAGACTCTTGCCACAATCTCCCCTCACTTTGTCAGCCTCTTTCTGAGGGACCCTGGTATTTCCCTGTGGTGCCCTATAATGTGGCATGCCTCTCTTCTTGGATCAATAAGTATAGCATCCATCTTTTCAATGGCAATTGTCTCCTGCTCTGTTGGTTTCAACACACCTAAAAAATAAACCCACATTTTGAAACAGCTGGATAAAGTGTCACCTTATCATCCAGCAGGCCAGCCTGACTTGTTCATGTGGTAGCAGGGTCCCAAGAGCAACAAGAGAACAAGTCTAACGCACACACACTTTTCAGGTCTCTGCTTGTGTCACATTTGCTGCAGTCTGATTGAGCAGGCAGCGTGGGAGGACTGGATACAGGAAGGGCTATGTCTGCAGGGAGCTGTGAGCAGACTGGGGCCATAACTGCAATCAGTCCACCACACAGGTTTTCCAGGACACTTCGTATCAACTTCTCATTTCCTTTGACTTGAATAATCTTTAGAATTTGGCCACTGGAAAAAGCAAGTAATATTTGTCTTTTCACCACTCTTGACAGATATGTTACCATCACAGTGCTAAGAACTGCTATTCAAAAAACTAAGCTTTATAAGCTAATAATAAAATTCTCTTTTACTTTGAGAAGTGTCTGCTTGTGACTACAGGACTTGGACAGTACAAAGCCTTATGGGGTTGTAATTATAGTCATTGTGGTCGAACTACAGAGGGGATGATAACCTAATAATAATATTTGCAGAAAACTTTAAATGATATTATGCCCCTAAAATTCTTATTATTCTAGATAATGAACGTTGTAAGAAACTCTTTAGGCTGAGATTTACAGAATCTTTTTCCCACAACAGGCTAGTTCTTTTCAATTTTCCTTTCAAATACAGACCCTTTATCCTTCTTCAGTAACTTTCAAGATGAAATTCCAAAAATTCCTTATTTCAGAATTCCTCCTTGCTACTACCTTACTCACCATTACCATCACCCATACCAACTTGCTTATGTTGTAAAGCACTATATGAGATCCCAGTAGCCAAGGGAAATATATATATATATTAGAACAAAATGCCAGGCCTTATTTTCTTCTTAGTATTAGCTTATCTCCAAGAAGAAAACAAAACAAAAACAAAGAAAAAGCTCTAATGCTTTTAGTCCACTTTTCCCAAGTTCCAGACATAGTCCTGAACAGGAGAAGCATGTCTCTCTCAACAAAGAGCTTGCTTGCTTATCCTACAAATAAACCAACCCTAGATTTAAAAAAAAGTTTATCTGTAATAGCAATATATATTTGCAAGGCCAATGGATGTTAGAATCTGATAGATGTTAATTTGAATCTCAACTTAATCACTTACTAGGTGGAGAAATGCCAGCATCTTAAGTTGTCTAAGTGTTAACTTTGACTTCTTAGTGATGCACATACTCAGCGATAAACTCTAGTCTTTAGAGAAAATTCAAAGCTGCCTTATCCCACTCTCCACTCACTATTCTATCCCTAGAATGGTCTCTGTTGTAAGGGGAAGACAAAATAGAGTGATCAAGACAGTGTGGCTACTTTAGAAAGGGATGAGGTTTTATTGTGTTGTTTTGTTTTTGTGAGAAGAGAGTGAGTGTAAGAGTAGTAGATGGGTGCGGATTGTTGCTTTTGTAGATCGTGTTTCTTGGATCTCTCTGCCTGTCACTCTTCTTTCTTCAATCTCAGGATGCTGGGATGATAGCTGGACAGGTAACCATCTTATCTTTGGAAAAATCAAACAGGAGCTGGGGTGAAGTCTAGAGATACATACAGCTAGGAATATACCTGCTTTTACCAGTTCCCAGACGGAGAGCAGTATAGAGACCTGCGGCCAGTCTTCACTATAAAGAACAGATGTGTCTGTAGCAACTTCTAAACCAATGTCTAATGAGACTTATAATGGTTGTCAACTTCATAAAAATATGATAATTAAATATTTTGGCCATTTCTTACTACAACAAAATTATAATTACTATTAATAATCACTTCATAGGATTGTTATTGGAGCAAATGAGATGATATAAATATAATTCCTAATTTGGTGCCTAGCAAATAGCACTTACCCATTAAATGTGTTACTTGTTAATTTATAAAAATATTAGTATTTGGGGTTTATGATGATAACTAGTTTATCGAAAGTATGAATCAGCAAATCAACTTTGGATTTGTTGTCATTATGTAGCACAGTTGCTATACTTTAGTTCTTTGCAACAGTGAGTTGTGGGCTTATCAGGTAATTTAAATTTTGATCTTGGCAATATTTAGCTATCAATATGAATTAAAATGAACACTGAAAAAAAAAGTAGACTTTCTTTGCTAAATTCTTTGGCCAGGTTTTTATGCAGTATGTCTTTAAAAGACAAATTAAGTACCAAAAAGCATGATGTATTTTAAATCTCAAAGAAAATATGTGTTTTATCTTAGAAAAAATTCAAAAGGAATAAAAATTATCATTCATCATTGGTTTCTTTCCTGCATTACATCTCCAAAGATCTGAAGAAATTAGGAAATAGTTAATGCTATTTCAGAGAAGAAAGAAAAAAATACCTTTGTGTTAATATCTCAACATTAGTTTCTTGTATTAGAGCCTTACTTTTGCTGATATTATGGATTGTATTGTTTGCCTATGTTGTCTGAACAAATTTTTTGTCTAAATTATGTAATCTGCATAGAATTATTTTTAATTTTATATTTAAAGTAATATGATCAGGATTATTAAACTTAAATTACTTTTAATAATACTTTTTTCAAAAAAACTTTTTTGAAAAAAAAGTATTATTCAAAAACTTTTTTGTTTTTGAATGTATTTGCTGGGAACAGGGCAGAGGGTTATCATTATATATGACTTTGACTTAGCCTGCCTGATGTCCTACTGTACAATGATTCACTTACTGAGAGAGTTTAGATGTGTGTGTTCTACTTCAAGAAAGCCCAATTTTGTTCATTTGCTATAAAACATATACCCTGGGTTCAAGGGAGAAGTGAATGAAGTCACTCAATTCATACACAATTCACACTTTTGAAATGAACTCTAAGGTATATCAGGAAGAATGATTCACCACACACATGCAGACACACATACGTGCATGCACACACACACACACACACTCACACTCATACATTCATTCTATACATGACATTGGGGGGTCATGGGTATTTCATAAAGTGAAGGTATTGATATGTAGCAGTAAAACAAATTTCTGGGTATTGCACATGTTCTTAAGGGCATTGCTATTATATCATGGCTTTCAGAACCCTCTATAAACAAGCATCCTGATATCCCTCCTTCCTTTTGCAGATGACCTCGCCCAACAGGATGACAATGATCCCCCAAAAGAATATGATCCTGGGCAATTTGCAGGTCTCCTCCATGGATCCTCTCCAGCCTGCGAGTCCCCTGAAAATCCATTTCATCTCTATGGGAAAAGAGAACAGTGTGAAAAAGGACAAGATGAAGTCAGTGTGGCAAACAGTCCTTTGCCTTTCAAGCAGTCTCCAATAGAAAATAACTCAGAACCTTTGGTAAAGAAAATTAAACCCAAAGTGGTCAGTAGAACAATTTTTCACAAAAAAAGCAACCAACTCGAAAACCATACCATTGTTGGCACAAGATCAACCAGGAGTGGATCCCGGAATGGGGATCAGTGGGTTATGAATACAGGGGGATTTGTGGAGAGAGCCTGTACTCTGGGGAGAATAAGGTCATTGCCTAAAGCCTTGATTGACATGCATTTGTCAAAAAGTGTCTCTAAATCTGATTCTGATCTCATTGCCTATCCTTCCAATGAGAAAACATCAAGGGTTAACTGGAGTGAATCTTCCACTGCAGAACACAGTTCTAAAGGAAATTCTGAAAGAACACCATCCTTCACATCGGAATGGGAAGAAGTAAGCTTTGTTCTTCTTGCTGTTCATTATATAGGCTTTGGAGTTGAGGGAGGTTTGGGGGAAGGATTTTCAGCTTTTTAGGTCTTTCAAAATAAAAAAAAATTAACAAATGCATACAGCTCCAACTGGAAGGAAATGTTTCTATGGGTAATGCATGGTAATTTCACAGCAAGTATAAAAACAAACACAGTTCCATACATGTGGGTTAATCTATTGTTTCCATAGAAATTGATATCAAGCAGAAGTAATAACTAGTTATGAGGTACAAGAGAATGTTCACATCTTGTCCTACCAGGCACTGCAGCTGACAAATTGAGAAAAAGCTTAGTATTTTGCTCTATATTGTTTTGCTACTTGCCAAATTCTTTGTTAGCTTGCCTCCCTTCTTTAAAGTATCTTACATTTTCAGAAGAGCTCCTTAGAATCTTCAGAGTAAATAAAGTGTCCTAGCTGTTCTCCAAGCAGCCTACAATAAACACACATCATTTGATATTTCCCCTCTGCAGCTATCAGGGACACAAAGAAAAAAATGTTTGAGGTTCAAATATCACCAATTTAAGCTCTACTTAAAGACAAAGTCTTTAATTTCATAAAGTTATTTAGAAAGTAAGTACCCTTGTAAGATTATAAAATATCATCCCTTGTCCCTGAGGAGGACTGCATCATAAAATAATAAAGATTATTGCTTTTTCTTGAATTTCTTCAAAGAATGAACCACAGCCTCTCTTGGTATTTCATTCTAACACATCACATATTGTCTCTGAAAAGACTGTACCAGTTGGATTAGGTTTAGAAGCACAATACGTCATTACAGTATTCAGAGAACTAGAAATGGATATCGTTCTGATAATGATATTCTGAAGTGAGCTGTTTGGGAAAATCTCTTAATATCTCTGCATCTGTTTCAGGGTGAACAAAATTGGGACATTTAAGTAATGCCCATTGTCCTTTCTGAAACCTGCTATCTTATTCAGGAGAGGATTGCTAACATCAGGAGAGGCATTAAGCCATAAATTACTGCAGCTTAAACAGTCATATCTTCCTTTAAATTTCATACTAGTAGATGGTTAATTTCTCAAATTTCTTATATTTATTAATTTAGTGAATATCATCTGAAATCCTGTTATGGAGGTAAAATTAATTAACATTTAACTTAGATCTTAGAATTAAGTTGTTTTCATGCCTAGATGCTGGTGATTAGATGCCACTAATAAACTTGTGGCTGATCAAGCCATTTGGTTAGAACTTGGCTCCAGTCTGGGCACAGTGGCTCACGCCTGTCACAGTACTCTGGGACACCGAGGCAGGTAGATCACTTGAGGCCAGGAATTCAAAAATAGGCTGGCCAACATTGTAAAGTCCTGTCTCTACTAAAAACACAAAAATTAGCGGAGTGTGGTGGTACACACCTGTAATCACAGCTACTTGGGAGGCTGAGGCACGAGAATCACTTGGACCTAGAAGGCAGAGGTTGCAGTGAGTTAAGATAGTGCTTCTGCACAACAGCCTGGGCAACAGAGTGAGACTCCATCAAAAACAAAAAACAAAAAACTTTGCTCTAGTGGCCATGCTCTCCACATCCTGAAACATGCTCCTTTACCAGTTAGATGGGAGATGTTCTTAGTCAGAAGAAGAAGGATGCCAGAGAGCAAAGACTTTGTCACATGAATTTATCTACAGCCCTTTCTGAGTTTGAAGAATACGCAGTTCCTAAATTACCAATCCGTCCAAGTATAAAGTTTATTTCAAGAAACACAAAGAAAAGGCAAGCTAATTTTGAAAGTTTAAGACAGAGGAGCATGCTTTACATTTTAATAAAACAATCCCAAAGATGTTTGCTTCCCTTTAAATCTTTCTCTATTAGACTCTTAACTGCAGAACAGCACCAAAACTATTTGCTCCCTTTATTTGAAAGTTATATTAAAATGCAGTGTTAAACGTGAATGTAATAATCCATTTAAATGGTTTTTGTTTCTTACAGATTGACAAGATAATGAGTTCCATAGATGTTGGAATCAACAATGAACTTAAAGAGATGAATGGTGAGACCACAAGTAAGGGAAACCTTCCTCTACATTATAATGAATAAATATGCTTAAGGAATATTGAGAAAATTACAGGAATCTTTAGATAACTGCATTTTTAAATATTATAACTACAAATTATTTCATTCCACTTTCAGATCTAAGAACAATTGCCCTATAAGCAACATCAGTTATAAGAATATTGACTTAGCAAATTGAGAGGATTTTCCCATGTGCTATTTTACTATGCCTGTGAAGTTTTTCTATGCACTGTGGCATGTGCTTGTAGTCCCAGCTGCGTGGGAGGCTGAGGCAAGAGGATTGCTAGAGCAATTGTTTGAGACCAGCCTGGGCAAGGTAGTGAGACCCTGTCTTCAAATATGTATAGAGACATACACACACACACACACACACACACACACGAAGTTTCCACTTTATGTAGAGCTCGGTATGAAGCACTTTAAAGCATTAAAGAATCTGATGACTTAATACACTAATATTTCTTATTCAGTGAATCATTCACCTGACTGACTAACAACTTCTGCCAAGTTGTAGGCTCTAATTTGGCAAGAACTGTGTGTTAATCATCTTCATGTATCCATTAATACTTAGCACACTGTTTCACAAATAGTTGGTTTTGCAATCACTATTTGATATATTACTCTTACTAAGTATTATTTTCTCCCCTACAACTAAAGCTCCAAGTGGAAGTGGAAGGCCATATTATATCGAAATCTATTCATTTTTCTTGTTTGTGTTTTGTAGCAGACACAGAGATATTTGCATTACTTCTGTATTAACACCAAATGTGTCTGGAGCTCCCCAGACACACACACACACACACACACACACACACACATCTAGGCCAATACAGCTGGGTATAATGACCATTTTAGTGTAAGGCAGGCACAGTTAAAAAGTGTGAATTTTGTGACAAACACACAGGCACACATCACAAACAAAAAAGCCTGGTGATTCATTTTGATAGTTGACATATATGAAAAATTATGAAAACACCCCAAATCTTATCCTTGCAGTTTTCTTCTTTTACAACTTTTAAGTTCAGGGGTACAAATATGTTTGCTGCATAGGTAAGCTTGCATCATGGGGGGTTGTTGTAGAGATTTTCACCACCCAGGTATTAAGCCTAGTACCGATATTTTTCCTGACTCTCTCTCTCCTCCCACCCTCCATCCTCTGAAAGGCCCCAGTATGTCTTGTTCCCCTCTGTGTGTCCATGTGTTCTCATCATTTAGCTCCCACTTATAAGTGAGAAGATACAGAATTTGTTTTTCTGCTCCTGACCTCCAGCTCCATCTATGTCCCTGCAAAGGATATAATCTATTTCTTTTTACTAGGTAAAAGCTGGAAGCATTCTTCTTGAAAATTAGCACAAGACAAGGATGACCTCTCTATTCCTATTCAATACAGTATTAGAAGTTCTGGCCAGTGCAGTCAGGCAAGAGAAAGAAATAAAACATCTGATTAGGTTTGGCTGTGTTCCCACCCAAATCTCATCTCAAATTGTAATCCCAACATGTCAAAGGAGGGACCTAATGGGAGATGATTGGATCATGGGGGTGGTTCACCTCATGCTGTTCTCCTGATAATGAATGAGTTCTTATGAGACCTGATGTTCTTAAAGTGTGGTACTACCCCTCTTACTCTCTCTTTCTCCTGCTACCATGTAAGATGTGCCTTGCTTCCCCTCTGCCTTGTAAGTTTCCTGGGGCCTCCTCAGCCATGCAGGTCTGTGAATCGGGTAAATCTCTTTTCTTTATAAATTACCCAGTCTCAGATAATATCTTTATAGCAGCGTGAAAACGGACAAATATGGCATCCAAATAGGAAGACAGGAAGTCAATCTATCTCTATTTGAAGATGACATGATCCTATCTCTAGAAAACCCAATATTATCCTTGCAATTTTGTATTGAAGCAAAACCGAATGAACTACCATTACAATAACATTAGGTAATTTTTCTCAAAATGTGATCTACATACCACTTGTATCAGAATCATGTCCAGCACTGGTGAAAAGTGAAGATTCCTGGGCTCCATCCTACTAAATCAGTATTTCTGGAGGCAGAGCTCAACAAATAAGCCTTTTAAACAAGCAGTCCAAGTGACTCTTAAGACCAGGAAAGCTGGAAAATGGTTATTTTATGGTGGATTGGCCTGGGTGACTAAGAAGTAATACTGCAATCACTAAAAAGAATATGCAGGTCTAAGTGAGTCCCTAGTAGGAAAATCTTGCTTTTTTCTCTTATGTTGGAACAAGTGAGAAGTTATTTTATTCTAAATTGGCTAGGACTCATGTTAATTGAGTGATAATTTTAAAAAAGGTCAAGCAATACTCTTTTCTGAAATACAAGTTTGCATTAGATTTTAAAACTGAAAAATTAGGAAACAATTCTCAAAATTGCATACATCTGTTTAGTGACACAAGTATGATATTAGCTCCAAGATAGACTGTGTAGCCAGTTCTCTCACTTGGAAATGCTTACAAACACTGAGGACTTTGCCAAAACCCAAGCAACCAGCCTACCAACATATGTTGCCACATAATTCTTTGAGACATGCTTACAGAATAATTTCAGGGAGATTATAAGAATTCAGATCTTTGATTGATGTAAAGGTAAGAATTTCTTTTCTTATCAACTTTACTCATTCTATCTTTATTCAAAGATAGAGTGACTGCTAGTGGGATAGTAAGTTCTTCAATACTGAGGATATTCAGGCTAGGAGTGCTTCTCTGATGGAATGGTGTTTCATGCACTAAGTCCACAGTTAAACTTAGGTAACATTGGACATTAATGTTCTAAAATTCTTCAAGCATATATTTCCATAGAACCAGAAAAATATCATAAACATGATTATAAAAAAGTAAAAATAAACGTTAAAAGTGCCACTCTGAAAAAGCTGCCATTTAAGGGCATTTTAGTAGTAAACAAATTCACAAATTATTTTTTCTTAATTCTCTTTCTACCTCTCATATTGCCATCCTACCTACTGTTTTTATTTATCATTTTTCAGCAATGGCAGTTAAAATGAAAGTAGAGACTCAGTCCCCAAAGAAGCATCATTATTAACAAAGGCTGGCTCTGTGTGTGCCTCAATTTTTACTTCTTGATCAGACTACTCTGTGCTAAGTAATTGACCACGGGATGTAGCATTCCACTTGGCCGTTAGGCTAGTTGTGAATTACAGTTTTGCTGAGTTGCAGCTTTTTCCCTCTCAAGGCTAGTTTTAACTAGAGGTGTGATAAACAACCCTATGAAAAGGGCATTCCACAAATAATATTTTGGGTACTGAGTGTGGGTTGGGAAATCGCATGGAAAAGAAAATTTCAGACAGACATAAATTCAAATATCGGCTCTGTTATTTTCTAGCTGCTTGATCTTTGGCAATTTACTCAGTTTCCCCATTGACAGAAATGAGAATACTAATAGAGGATGATTATAAAGATGCATGATGGCATATACACAAAAATCTAACATAAGTAGATATATATTAAATTTTAGCTCTCACCTTGTCCTATTGTGATGCTGACATTGTGTTTGCTGCTGTGGTCATACCCAAATAAGTACACATAAGCCCTTTCTTTAAGAATCTTAGAATGTTAGCTAGTCCCAAAATCTTCATGTTAAATTTGCTGTCTTCCCTGGAATTGTTGTGGTGTGTCAGTTGGAATACATGTAACAAACACACCAGTCAATTGGTATTATAGAAGAGTAGTTACTGAGAGAGAACCTAAAATTCTAGGATACCTTGGCAAATAAAGAAGAGTCTAATGGTCTAAATGATTTTAATGAAATCTGATCATGCATTTTGCTTGACAATTGGGAAAAGACAGGCAATGAAATTAATGGGAGGTAAATTTAAAATGAGCAAGAGGAAACACTGTTTTACATAGTATGTGTTGTCTATCTCCAAAATTTTGCTTTGGAAGGCTACTGAGTCAAGTGCTATGGCTGTCTTTAAAAGAGCTGTGTAGTTTTTTGAACATTTATGTTCGTTGCTCAAAACCTTATAAGACAATTGGGAGAATAAAATCATAAGCAATGGAGATAAAGGATCAAAAGTCAGCATTACATTTTGTATGCTCTTGTCCATTTTGTCTCAGCATTTTTGTTTGCTGTCCCCACACTTATATATTTCTAATGTCAGATACCTTATAAACAAAATATTTATTGGACCAGGAAGAGATTTGGAAGTTTCTTATCTTTATTCCTATAAATAAGAACCCACTCAAAGTTCGAGCAGTCTCTATGAGTCATCAATAGTTTTACTAATAGAAATCAATTTTCTCTTTTTCCTCCCACCCCAATTTTCTCAGCAATTATATAGTAGTTTGAAACTTACTCAGCAACATCAACTATCCAGAACTAAGTCAGAAATAAGAATAAATATAATTTCCTGAATTTGTTTTAGGTCAGTCCTTTTGATACTCACTCAGAACTTAATTCATAAGTTTCACAAACAAAACTTCTAGTTTCCCACTTGAAATGAGACTCGAATGCCAAACAAATCAGTATTGGCATAGGATTCAATTATATTCAATGCCTCATACTGTGTAGAACACCCTGTTCTTTGGTGAAGCTGAATATTTGACGTGATAGTATATTCTGTATCATCAGGCACTCTCAGGTTTGCACTTTTAGAACCCTTTCAGATAACAGGTTTTGAAGTTAGATGAACCTGGCCTCAAGTCCCAGCTTTGCAATTTCTGTTCTCTCTGATGTCAGTTTCCTCACCTAGAAACTCAGACTTTTAATAACCACCTTATAAGACTGTTGCCAGATTAAATTATACACTGTACTACTACAGTTTAGGTATCTCTTATCTGAAATGCTTGTGACCAGAAGTGTTTCAGATTTCAGATTTTTTTGGATTTTGGAATGTTTACACATATATAATGAAATATCTTAGAGTTGGGACCCAAATCTAAACACAAAATTCATTTGTTATTCATATACACCTTCTATACATAGTGTGAAAGTAATTTTATACAATATTTTAATAATTTTG